CGAGTCCAGATATGGACTCGACGAGTCCAGATATGGACTCGGCGAGTCTACGCTGTTCAGCAGAAACCCTAGCCGTTTGGTTTTGGATCGTATATAACGCCCTATATGTCGTCATTGTCCGTCTTTTAGCCGATTAAGAAGAACCCTAAGCGTCTGTGGACATCTAGAGCAAGATTGGAGGCTATTGGAACTTTGAAGAGATTGTTGGGCAAGAAGGAGAGGAGTTTTGGCTAAAGGAACAGCAAGGGATTCGAGCCCTTAGGTTGGGGACACAGAGAGTGCGTTTTTTCAGGTAATACTTCGGATCATTTCTGTTATTTTGATGTGTGCACGGATTTAGGGTTTATGAAACCCATTTGGTGATTAGATGGATTATTACCTTGTTACCCAAACGTTTATAACCCTGTAATAGGATGTTTAGAGGTCCAGAAGGTCCCATGCTTTGTGTATTTCGGGACCATACGTATTTCAGGAAGCAGTTTGATCGACTGCATGTGATATGTGTATTTGTAGACATATTTTTATGCACTTTATCTTAATATTTTGGCCTTATTTATTCTATTTTAGAACTAAAGAGTACTCATAATACTTTGAATTATGTTTTGCAGCTATTTGTTGTCAATAATGCACAAGAGAAAAGACTGAAGCGGAAATTGGGCTTAGAAGCTAAAAGAAAGAAAAGGGGGCTGAGGTCGCGGTTACGCCCCGCGTACCTTAAGGTTACGCCCCGCGTACCTGCTTGCACCGGATATACATGATCGCGTGATTATCCATAGTACGCGCCGCGTAATCCATAGTACGCCCAGCGTACTTAGGTCGGCCACAAAGATTATAAATGTCGATTTTTAGCTAACCAGGAGGGGGGGATTCGATTTCTAACCTAATTTAGTCGACAATTAACTTCTATTAAGCCGTTTTGAGGGTCTAGAAGGCGGCCGGAAGGCCGTTAAGCTAACGGGAGCAGAGATCTGAAGGATTGGAGAGCAGATACATGTCGGTAATCATATGGATTGCTAACGTGACCATGTTTAGCACTTCCTTATGGTACTTTTTGTATTTAGTTTCTGATTTGGGTGTAAAAACCTTTTACTTTGTGTTTATGATTGAATGAAGTTTTGATTCTTAAACTAATTGTGATGTTAAATAATTTATTTGTGTTTAATTTATCTTGCCAAGCTTGTTCAAAGATCCTCATGTGTTAATGATGATTATTTGCTGTTAATTGTTAAGTGAATTAAGTTGTATGAAAACCTGCTTGATTTGCTTGTCTCTTATGATTTTTGATGACCATTGAGATTATAAGACTAGAAATAACGAATGTGAAACTAGGATTAACATGGGAATAAATAAGTTAATGTGTGAGCCTTGTTTGATGACCATCAACAAGAGGTTAATTAAATGTTTAAATTAACTAAGTTTACAAGTCTTGCTTGATACGAACTGAACACTAGGAAGCATGTTAGTTTAATCAATTGATCACTGTTTGAATTAACTTGTTTGCTAAAGGATTAGTTATAGTGAACATGAATCTAATCAATTTAGGAATCGGTGAACATGAATAAATGAATTGTGTATGCAATTGTTTATGTTTTCAAGGTGGAATTTGTCTAAACCAAAGTACCTAAAGAGATTTGTTTTCCTGTTAGTTTATCGAGAATGGTTAATTAATTATTAGTTTGAGATTTATTAAATTATTCTTTCGTGTGACATGTAACCTATAATTAAATATATTAAATTAATCCACCGTTCCCTGTGATCGACACCCGACTTACCTAAGCTATACTGTAATCTGACTAGGTACACTGCCTATAAGTGCATAGTTAGTCTAAGTTTGTTAGGTTATAAATATTAAATTAATGGGTACTTTCGTGCACATTAAGTTTTTGGCGCCGTTGCCGGGGAACGGCTTGTCATTAATTTATTTTATTTGATTATTCGTTATTTGTTTTTAGTTAGTTCTCATTTTTTTTAGTTTGATTTTCGATGATATCTTTCACTTGTCGGGAAGGTTCTTGTTTTATTTTGCAGGAATTTGGGATTGTACACATTGCTTGACTTACTTTTTGCATGGGTTTCGAGAATGAAAGCGATTAGGGAATTCTTGACCTGCTTAGCCTACTACTTTGTTGATTTGTCCAACTCAATCCATGAGGCGTAGTATAGCAAGGCGTATTGTGGTGGTTAAGTGGAAGACCGAGCTCTTGCTGTCTTGACTAGTTAGGTCACTTCTTGTTCCGCTTCTAGTTAATGGTGCAAGGAAAACAAAGGAAATATTCTAACGGGTCCCGAAAGTGGGTGTTTTCGCAAACCAATTCTTGCATGCAAAGGTTTTTGATTAACCATTTGTTTGATCTTGACAAAGATAAGTGATTATGACATCTCAATTTTTTTATCACTCATCGTGAAGTCATCATTAGCTTAAGAAATTAAAAAGAAAAATTAAATAAGTTTTAAGTTCCTAGATGAAATGATTAAAAAGAAAAGGAAATTCAATTAAAAGAAGAAAGTTAAATTTCATTACGCCCCGCGTATGTTTACTTACGCCATGCGTAATATGCCCCGGATCGCGAATGAACATTTCAGGGGGTTGAGGTACGCCCCGCGTACTCTTGAGTTACGCCCCGCGTAACATGGCGACCAGGTATATCTTTTGACCCTTTGACTTCTTCTTTATTCTTTTCCCTCTTCTACTCTCGCGCAAACTGTGACGGCAGCTCTCTCCAAGATTCTCGATTCTCTCTCGTTTCTTGTTAAATCCACCACACAAGTAAGTATTTCGGATACTCAATAGCTTGGATTTGTGTTTAATTCAAAGGAATAAGCTACATTTAGCTTTTGCTTGAAATCTAGGGTTTATATATTTTTCGAATTAGGGCCGATTTTGCAAATGTATGTGTTGATTAGGGCTTGAATGGACCGATTTCGGTTAATACATTAAACCCTCGAGCTTAATTTCGTCTTAATTCCGTCCCACGTTTACCGATTCGAGCTTGGGGTCGTACGCCAAGCGTACCCCTGTGACTTCGAGTTCTTGACTCTGGCTTCGATTTTTGACTGTTATACATGTTACCTGTTAAATGTTTTCATAGGGATTGATTCATATTTTATTAGGAGGTACCGATTTTTCTCCTACTGCCTTGGATCACACGGTTGGTTCCATTTGCTAACATGTATGCCCCATGTGTTTGACTTATTAGACAACCTGGGTATGGGCTTAAATTGACAGTTTTTTTTTAAATGGGTATTAATTTTAGAACGAAAAGGGACAGATTCGTGAACTCGGACGTAAGCCCAGCGTACTGCACCTATCCAGCCCCAATTTTTTTTTGGTTTAAAAAATCTATTAATGCTGCCATATTTTGTTGGTTTTGTGTTTTTTTGTGCAGATTATGGCTCGAAGGGCCCAAAGAACCAACCCTCCCGAGGATGTGACCGATCATCGCTTTTTACAATTTCCGCAAACACTGAGCGATGCTACCAGGGCTCGTTACAGCACTAACTTGAGCCTGCTTCTCACAAAGGAGATTGATATTGCACCCTCTTTCGACTGGGAGTTGGCTACCAGGACTGGACTTGCTGCATTGATCCAGGAATTTTTGCAATACACACACTCGGACGTGAGTGGGGTGGAATTGTTTGTGTGTCAGGGATGGGCGCGTTTGTTCAGGATCCAGGAGCCGGTATATCGAGAGTTTTTGCTGGAGTTCTATGCTACAGTTTCCTATGATCCTAGGAAGCCACTCAATGACAGGACAGCCTTTGCTTTCAGACTGGGAGGAGTGAGCCGGGAATGCAGCGTGATAGAGCTTGCTACTCGGGTGGGTATTTACACAGCCGATGAGACAAGGAGTGTCCACTTCCCGACATTTCTTGCTGACTGTCTCACGGAGCGGCCGGAGGACTACAATGAGAACACTTTTTGGGCCGAGATTACGGGAGGAATTTATACACCATCTACCGCTCGAGGGGGATGATTCGGTCTACTACATACCGAATGTTGCACGGTTGATTTCTATGTCTCTCACGCATCACAAGAATAGTGAGAGAGTGCCTTCGACGGACCTGTATTTCCTATGGGCACTAGTTACTCCAGGGAGGCACCTGAACCTTCCAGTTGCTTTAGCTGCATACTTGGGACGGAGGGCCAGGGGACTTCGGGGAGATAGCCCGATATGCGGAGGGCATTTTATCACACGATTAGCTCGATCATATCAGTTGATGACACGTGAGATCACGAGATCGATGGTGTTTCACGACATGAGGCCGATGAGTCTTCAGCTATTGGAGTCGATGCGCGTATTAGAGCGGGGCGGAGATGGTGTTTTGAGGGTTCGAGCAGATGATGTGGCGGATGAGAGGGTGTGCCGAGCCACAGCCGAGACGGGTCCCGCGGCGTAGACCTGCTCCTCGGGGAGCGCAGCAGGGACCTGAGCCGGAGATTGATATGCGCTATTTAACTCAGGGCATTGATCGTCTTGACTTGAGGGTCCAGAACCTTAGCGAGTATGTTGCACATGTGGACGCGCAACAGCGGTGGCAAGGGAATGCATTGAATGCATTCTTTGCCCATCAGGGATTTCAGTATTCGGTTTCCTTTCCACCACCATTCCAGTCACGATTTGATAGGGCCGGTACTTCTGGGATACAGCCACATGATGATGGAGATGACGAGTGATCCTTTTTATTTTGTTTATTTGTTTGTTTTGTGTTAATTTTAGTTTAAGTTTAGTTTTTAGTATTTGGTATGTAATTAAACTTTGATTTAGTTTGTTTTACTTTTGTTTTCCATGTTGATGCTCTATGGTTGTTTAGATTTATGCAGAATATTCGCCCTTAGGAAGCTGGCAGTAAGTTCAGCAGCTAGGTCCGACTGTTGCTAGAGAGCCATGTGAGAGTTCGAAGATTAAGTCAAGACCCACAATTTGTCATAAGTGTGGGGTGCATATTTATTAGAGTTGTATTTCGACGCGAGGAAGAAGTATCATCCCGGCTGCCACGACATGGTTGACACTTTCCTATGTTGTGGGGATTTTTCATCGCGAGAAGAGAATGTCATTCTTGACGAGACGACGTGGTCGACACTTTCCCACGTCATGGTTATTATACATTGCATTTGTTTGCGATCTTTTGCACCACATTTTCGAAGATGGCGGTCTTGATTTTATTTTTCGGCAAATTTAGAAGCAGCAGTTCCAGTTTTCAGTTTTTCAGCAATATTTGAAGCAACCTGTAGCAGCCCCATTCGATCTCGCCACAACTACCCAGGGGAGTCTGTTCCTTTTTCTCCCTTTTTATGTTCTTAATTTGTTTTAGCATACAATGAGGGCATTGTATGAAATAAGTGTGGGGTAGGGGGTCGGTAAAAGTAAATTATAAAAATGAAATAATAGTTGGAAATTGCTAGATTTAGGGAAATTTAAAAATTTAAAAAAAAAAACTTGAAATAATAGTTTAATTTAGAAAAATCTAGTGATAATTTAAAATTTTGCTAATATTGTATGAGATGATCCGATGAGAACTCAAATGTTTAGTTGAGCCAATATACGTTATAGTGCATTTGTGGCTTCCCTTATTTTAGTGAAATCATGGAACAAAAACATAACCCCGCTCGGTTTGAAGGATGCAATATGTTTAGCAGCCTAAACCTGAAATGTATCCAGGAAATTATTATCATTAACCAATAAAGGTTGAGGTTGAGCGCCTCTGCTTAAGCATGTAGGTTTTGAGTGAAAAAAGAGAGGTACATGTAAAAAAAAGAGAGAGAATTACGAAAAAGTTTGAAGAATTTTGGAGCAAATAAAGTGAAGATCAAAAGATCAAAATTCT